ATTTTACTGTGTCAGGCCTGGGGTTGCAAAACTGAACTTCAGATTCCTGACTCAGTGCTCTTTATAATTTTCCCCAAGTCAAAAGTTTCCTCAAGGTTACCTAACATATTCAAATACTGCTAAGGAATGTAGGGCAGTTTTTCAAAAAAGAAGGGGAAGAAAAGCCCAGAAGAAAAAGTCCTGGCACCAAGATACTATGCAAACTCACACACGGAGCGGCGTACCCTTCAGGGATGCCACTGGAGCCCCTCCCCAACAGACAGGTAAGGACAGTGAGTGAGCTCCACATTCATCAGCTCCTAATCTGTGTCTCCTGGTACAATTTCACTGAAGAAAGACTTCTGAGCTAGAGAGTCATGGATTCCCAGTTAGCTTAGCCCAGACCGGATTGTTTGGGCTTTGGCTGCAGAGGCCTTGAAGTTGAGAAGTGACTGCTTTGCTCTTGTTCACCACAAGGGGGAGAGTCACTACCTGTTTTAAGGCTAAAGCCCTGCCTCCATAGCTTCCCCTCCTCCAATCTGCAAGTCAGGTGTTGGTTTAAAGGCCCATGAATAGGCCCGAGAATGACGTCAAATCAACATCGTTGGCTGCACACACCTCATCTGCCACCCCCAGAATAGGTTCAGCACACCCTGTCCTCGTCCTCGTAGCGCTCTGACCAGCTAATGCCACTTGAACTCCAAAGGCATAGGTGGGAGGAGGAGGGGAAGGGATGGCCGGAGCACGGCCAAGTAGCCTACTACTCATTCATTTTACAGCCAGATGGGAAGTGAGATAGCCAGCCTCACACTGCCTGTCCCCAAGAGGTGCTAACAGAAGAACTGAGACTCTTGGTTCAACACTCCACTTCCTCTCAGCCTCCTGACCTCTCAGATATGGAGGCAGCTCCTTCCACTAGGAATCAAGAGTCAAGTCAAGTACCTTCCCGTGGACCACCGCTGCCTTGATATAGCTTGGGGATAAAACTAAGGAAACGTCTTGAAGGTGAAACCCTTGGTAAACTCATAAGATGGAAAAGCACAATGGATTAGCAACATCGATGAAGGTGTGGGAAGCCTGGATCGGCACTACACTGGGCATGGAATAACTAGCTCAGAGCAGCATCTTCAGGCTGGGCTCCTAATACAAAAAGAGGGAGATGTGGGATGTCATGTGTAGGGAGGCTAAACGCTAACTCCAACCTCATCAAATCCAAACTCAACACTATTGGCTCTTCAAGACTAACTGGAATCATCTGTTGCACAGAAGACCATGTGTCTAGAATCTTCCAATATCAGAGCGTAATCCTGAGTATCTCCAATGTCTCTTTCCTGGTTCGTAGACCTGGGTGGACAACTCATAAGACTAAGGCTCAGTTCTGCTTCCCCAGCATCAAAAACTCCAAGAAAGGGAATGCCAGGAGCTGAAAGTTTGGAAAATCTCCCAAATGTCTCCATGGACCAGGACCAGCCAGGGAACAGATACTAGGCTGACTGAGTCAATCTCTCCTGAAGCCATTTCAGAAAGCCAGGCACACTCTCTGGCTCCCAAACACAATAAAGGAAGAAGGACCCAGCTCTGTGCTCTCCCGCGCTCGTTCTCTCTTCCCCTTTCACACACACATACGCTCTCCACAGACTCTGCAAAATCACTGCCAGCTCTTTCACAACTAACTTTCCCCATAAACTAGACGCACAGCCTGGAAGCTGGCTACCATCTCCTCCCACCTGCAAGGGTCTCCAGGTACAGATGCTGCTCAGCTCCAGGGCAAGTGGATCCAGGACTAGGGGCAGTTCACTTCACTAAGTGCCTGCTACACTTGCAGACATGGTCTTAGGCACTCCTAGTCTCCTCATCTTGGCCCTCAAGACGTGGAATGGAATCTCATCTTCCTCGAAGGCTTTCCTCCAAGAAAGGAGGCCTTTGACTTTCATACTGTTAGTTGCTGCTGTACCTCCATGCAGGGTTTTGTTTTTTTTTACTGCAAATCAGTCCCTTACACAAACCCAATGGCAAAGCAGAGGAAGAAAGGCATTCCAGAGCCCTCAAGTTTCTGGGAGTACCTCCCTCTGTTCTGGTCTGTTCCTGACTGAGGTGCAGGACTCCCCAGTTTTCATTGGGCTGGAGGTGTTTGATCTTTCCTGTATGCAGGGCGACTAACTCTATCTCCCTCAGACCTCAGTCCTCAGTCCCTGAATCCCAAGCTCCCTACTCTGGCCTCAAAATTGGCAGCCACCACCAAGGATCTGGGCAAGAAGGCCAAGAGTGGGGGATGAAACCCCAACTTTATAGAACGAGCCCTTACAGAATCTGGGGATCTGCCTGCTTCGGTAATTTCATCTACTACTCCCATCCCAGTTTAAAGGGCAGGAGAAGGAAGGGGTGGACAAATCCCTAAAAACCTGTCATTCAATAGACAAGGTAAAGCAGAATCCTGGCTATCAACAGCTGGGCAATGGGGAAATTTAGGGTCGGGTAGGGGGTCAGTCATCCTAGGGTCAGAGTAAAAAGGATTGGCTAACTCCTCCCCCACAGTGAATCATGGCAAGAGACAGGGACAGCAGGGCCTGGGAGACAGAATGACAAGTAATTGAGAGACTGACCTCCAGGACCCAGGTCAGACAACAGGAAAAGGGAAGGATGCACAAGAATGGTCACTGTCTAAAGACGGCAAGGGTATACTGGGCTCTGAAGGAATGTCTCCAGGAAGCACAGCCAACTCTCTCACAAAGGGTTGCTGGGCACAAATGCATCCTGTGAGGACTGGTCCTGGTCCAGGACTAAAGAAAGTCACCAAGGGGGACACTTTGAGGGACCTGGAGTCATACGTGCAGGCTCTGTGTACAGAGCACAAGGGTCCCGCTGGCAGTAGAGTCAGGTCAGGATACCAAGATTACGAGTCCTGGTGACGCTGTACTAAACTGCAAGGTCAGTGGTTCAAAGCCACCAAGTGATCTCCAAGACAAAGATGAGACTGTCTGCTCCCTTTAAGATTTACAATCCCAGAATCCCTATGTAGAGTTGCTCTGAGTTGGAACCGTGGGTTTGATGTGTTGGTGGACAGATAAAACCAGAACTGGGAAATAGTGGCATTTTATAATTAGTGCCTGACCCACAAAGCAACTCCATGAACAGTTATCTGGCTCTGATTGCAATTTTCCCAGCCACTGTGGAAAGGTTGTTGGATTATCTTTCAATAGGCACATTTTTGCATACGAAGAAGCTGGGTTCAGAGAGGCAGAGCAGCCTACCTAAGGCTACCCAGTGATAAGCAGCAATGTTTGACTTTTTGAATGTGGACACAGAGCATGTATACATTGTTGTTCTTAGTTGCTGTTGAGTTGATTCTGACTCATGCCAAATCCATGTGTGTTAAGAGGAACTGTGTTTCACAGAATGTTCAAGGCCATGTTCTTTCAGAAGCAGAATGCCAGGTTTGTCTTCCAAGGTACCCCTGGGCGGGTTTGAAATATCAGTCTTTTGGCTTGTACTCCAGCACTTTACCATTTGCAGCACTAAATGTTATATGGCCAGCTCTACAAATGCATCAATAACATGCAACAAAATATTGTAAAAAGGGAGTCCCCGAGTCCCACCCATATAATTCTACCTTGCTGTTGTGCTGGAAAGTGCCTTCGAGTCGGTTCCGACCCATAGCGACCCTGTAGAGGGTTTCCCAGGAGCAGCTGGTGAGCTTGAACCACCGATGCTGCAGTTCAAACGGCTTTGCGGTCTGGCACATTAATCCACAGCGCCACACCAGGACTCTTTATAATTCTAACTACTCTTGACAAATTTGAGCTGGTGTGGCGCTATGGGTTAATGCGCCAGGATGCAAAGCCGTTTGAACTGCAACATCAGGGGTTCAAGCTCACCAGATGCTCCTGGGAAACCCTATACAGGGTCGCTATGGGTTGGAATCGACTTGACGGCACTTTAACAACAACAACCCTTAAATATCTGCCCCAAATGGTCAGTTCTCCATAGTTCAGGTAGTGAAAACATGATCTCTTAAGACTCTTAACAGCTTCTGTCCCCCAAGTGAGGAAGGTTTCAGGGTTTTTACTGTGGTCACTGCTGTAGTTAAGTGCTGTCGAGTTGGTCTGGACATATAAAATCCCCATCTAGGGTTTCCGAGAAACAGTTGGTGGGTTTGAACCACCAACCTTGCAGTTAGCAGTCCAGTGCTTATCCTACAGTGCCACACCAGGACTCCAATACTAAGGAAAAAAGAAGAGTAAAAACCAGCCAAGGTTGAATTTAATGAGGCAACATGAAATCAGTGCCTTTGGTTTACTACAAAAAGGTGAAACAAAGGAGTGAACAGGAACTATGTATCAGATGTAGGGTCCACATGGTGGGCAACAAAGCCTTGAATATTGACAAGGACAGTGACTGTTGCTATATTAAAGTCTGGATTCCCCCATCGAAACATTGCCATATAAAGTGAGGGCATCAGAATGTAGTGAATTCTTGACGAAAGCCAACCATCCGGTACAAGGAACAGCTAGAAGGCAATAAATGCCCAACAATAAAAAGAATTCCTTTGGTCTCCCTTACTGGGAATTGCAGTGGTCATTATCTTGACATTGTTCCTTTAACCTGTATTTACCCCCACCTCCTCCTAAATTTCCTCTTGGGCTTATCTCCAAGTCATCCTTTTCCTCAGAACATTAAAGATTCAAACACAACCAACCAGCAGTATATATAATCTTCAAAGAGCACTTTAGACATCATAAAGAATACTTTTAACATGCACTAATTTTATTTTCCCCTTACCACACCTGTCCTCATAAACCATTTATGAGTTTAGCAGCCAAAGAGAATGTACCAGCTCAGATAAAGAAACAATGGCCACCCAGGAATAGAAGCTTAGACTCTAGACCACCCTTCTAGAAATGCAGACACATGAAATTCAGGACTGCAGTGTTGTCACCCCATGCCCCCAACCCCCAGTTCCCAATACCACCCCCAAAAAAGCTTCTCAGCCTCCCTCCTCTCTAGCTCCAGCCTGTTCCTACCAGTGGCACACAGAGCAATGAAGGTCTGGGCGTGCTTGCGGATCAGCGGTAGCTTCTCCCCCGGCTGGGGCAGTTTGCGAAGGATGTGCTCAATGAAGTCATGAGGGGTGACAGCTGCCAGGTTCCACTTCAATTTGCCCAACACCACCAGCTCCCACTCCTGGTGAGGAAGGGAGGAAAAGAAGCGTCTAATATCCAAAGGCTGACTTGATGTCTGGGGGTTGGGATCCAGACCTGCTTTCATGATGCTCCATTAGAACACTGGGGATTGTAAAAGCAGGCCCATTTGTCAACATGGCCCTAAAGCTTTGAAGCCATGTGATGGCTATTCTTAAATTTCAAGTGTCAGGCTCCATTGAAAATAATGAGTCCAGGTAGCTGCTGCCAAGATTCTCCTTTCTTCTATTTCCTTTCTTCTCCAGCCCCCACCACCCACCCCACCCTGACTTGCATGCAATGGTGCTTACCGCCCACCCAGAAAGTTTACCCTATAAGACACTGCCAAGGTTGCTGTGGCCCTTTGGTAGAAACTCATCCTATATGTGTCGATCGTGAACAAAATGATTCACAGAGAGAAATCTCAAAATATGTTCTCTGGCCAAACTCCTTGGCAACCCATTAGCTTGCTTATACTTCGTGCCAAAAAGTGAGTTTTCTCTCTGCTGTTAAAACTTTCCTCAACACATCATGCAGAACTTGTAGGGGAATGACAGTCGGCCACAGTGCGCCCTTTCACCTAATTGTGATTCAGCCCTTTGTAATTGTGACCAAAGGACCAGGGTTGTCATTCTACTCTGATTACCAGAGTATCAGAGTAGAATGGTGCTCCACAGGACTTCCAGTGGTTGTTTTTCAGACAACTTTCTACAGAGGTGTCTCTGTATGGACTTGAACTTCTAAACTCTCAGTTAACAGCTGGGTCCATTTGCACCACCCAGAGACCCTGAGGTTATCACTGGCTAACTCATTTTGCAGATGGACGTGATCCTAACAAGGTGATGGTAGCTAGAAGCTGTTCAAGTTCATAGAATCCCTTTAGTTTTGTTTATTTGAAGTTGCTGACCAGCCGCCCACCTGGTGAAAAACTTTGTTTCTCTTCCCTACTGAGATACTTCTGGAGAATTACGCAAAAAGGAAAATGTTAAAACTATGAAAAACAAGAGGAAAAACATGCCTATCTATCATCAGAGATAGAGACTAGTACACTAGCATTCCCCTACCCCCATTCATCTCCACAACCACAAGTCCCTTCCACTGGCTACAACTGAGAGCCGTATGCTGTCAGAGTTGGGTCCTCTACAGATTGCTCTACCTGGTGGTGTGGCCAAGGCAATTCCCCTCCCTTCCCTGGGCCTCAGTTTTCTTATTTGTAAAATGGAAGAACTCCTTCAGATCCTAACTTTCATGCTAAGGAAATGAGGAATAAAGGCAGGTTTGTTTGTATAGTAATAGAAATGAATTTGGCTTGTTCTGGAAAAACTGGGGTGTCCCCCCAAAATTCTCAAGTCTGAAACAAATGGACCAGATGGATGATTAATTTTCCTGCATGACCATGAGAAAATCAAACTGGCCCCCAATTCTAACAATTTCTTTTTTATAAAGCACTAAAATTTACCTCGGGTTTTTACAGAGAGTTGGTATATCCTTTGACAGATTACTAATCAGCGTCTTCAAAGATGGTTTGAAATCTCAGCCCTTTCTTCTCACAGGGGAATGTGAGTACAAGCCACTCGTCTTGCACCATTATTAAAAGAAGCAGATCTCCCAGAAGAAAGTACCTTTCTGGGCCTCTCAGACCAAACCAGAAGCAGCTGAAATCTGGCAGTGGTTCAAAGGTGAAGTCATTCATGCCCCTCTTCACATTCTCGACAATTCCTCCCCCAACTTTGCGCATGTCTACCACTAGATGGCAGCACAGCCCCAGAAAGCAAAGTTCCTCACAAAGAGCTCAGTTCAAGAAGCCTGTTAGCTCTGTAGACTTTGTGTGCAAGCCTGGCCAGTTAAAAAAAAAAAAAAAAAAGGGGGGGGGGTCCCTTTTCTAAACAGTGGAGAGAAAGGTGTGGAGACCACTGAAGTGGGTAGCCTTAGAGCTGCTCCATAATCCCAGTGGTGCTGAGATATGGATGTCTTGTGGGGGAAGCTGAAGGGAAAACTGATTCAGACCAGTGGGAAAAAGGTTCCCTGACAGAAAGCTGCAGCAAGTCGGGACCACCAGGGTTGTACAGAGGTCACAACCCCATCAGAGCTAGGAACCCAGGGCTCAGACTCCTCTTATAAAGGGACAACTTTTGACTTTGCTCAAAAGCTAATGAGCTGATATTTAGTGAACAGTTACAATGTGCAAAATACTATAAGACTAGACAGAAATATATGATACACCTTTAAACTTGAGGGGCTGAGAGACAAAGCACCAACCCATTCCTTGTATGTGGACACATTCTCAGAGTCGAATTGAAGCAGGGAGTAGTGTCACTGTGCTCCATCCTTTCTCTACACACACACACACACACACATACACACACAACTGCAAATGATTCCCACCAATACAAATCTCCAAGGTGGTCTCATTGGTCCCTGTAGTCTCAGTGGTGAGGAACACACACATACAGCGAAAGACTCCTTCAAGGCTTGTGAAAATTCTAGGTGGTGGGGTGATTTGGGGTCCTAAGGATTTGTTTGGGAAGGGATTAGGGAGAAGGTACCTTAGGCCAGGTGTGAACTAGGAGGGATGCAGGGTGTAGGGGGTGGGGTGGGGGGAGAGAGGCAGTCATTACCAGCAGTTCCTGAGGCTTGATGGAGTTGTCGGTATAAATGCACAGTTTCTCCGCTGTCAATGGGATGGTTTCTTTGAGCTTGGAGGCCAGGAACATACAAACAGCACCCAGGAGTTGCAGATGGGACTTAGGGGTTGGGACCCCAGCCAAGAAGCGGTCCAGGTAATTCATGGCCAAAGGGAAGACCTCTTCTTCACACTTCTGTTCCTCACAGACCTATAATAAGAGTGGAGCAGGGTAGGAGAGGAGACAAAATAATAGGAGAAAAAGAGAAAAAGGATGAAAATAATAGTTTATGGAAATAACACCCCCTCCCTCAATTTAATTTTTGCAGGGCGGGGGAGGGAAGCAGAATGTGTGGTAAGAATAAAGATGAAGAAACTGAGGTAAATCTAAGTAGGCTCCTCCAAGTTTGAGTATTCCCCCACCCAGAAGCCTAAAAAATAATAGTGAACTAATGGTCCAAGGGGGGCGGGAGTCAAATGCGCAGCGGCTGCACGACACTCCCTTTCGCGACTCACTTCTTTGCTCACTGCAACTCACTCTGTTTTTTGTATTTCGTCATCTTTTCAAAAAATCAATAAAAATATTCTGGAGGCTCCGGGGGTCTCCTGTTTGGTCCCATTCGATTCCCCAGACCCTGCTCTATCATTCCCGACAATTGGAAAAAATGTCCGGAGGGGTCCCTACGGCCCAGGCGCCGCTTTTGGGGGGGTGGGTGGGGAGAGGTGGGGAAGAGAGGGGAGGGAGAAGAGGAGGAAGAGCACCGCAGCCTCGGCAGCTGGAGTCGGAGCAAGGGGATATGATTTCAAAAAATAATTAAAAATCGAGGAAATATCCTAGAAAAGCCCTTTTGGCGTGAAAATCCCAAGGAGGATCCAGGCTTCCCGAAACATAAGTTTCGGGTGCCGGAAAGGTCTGTATCTCGACCCCTGGGGCTCTGGATCCCGGGGGGAAACTTGCAGGGGTGAGAGCCGCGTCGGAGAGTCTCCGGCTGCGGCCCACAAGGGCAGAAACTCGGGAACCTGGTCAAGAGTTGGGGAAAAGACCGGGGCCGGGGAGTCTCCGGAATGAAGCATGGGGGGAATCTGACCTCTTATTTAGGGGTGCCCCGACATCCTCTCCCCCACACCCTCTCCCCCCCCCTCCTACCCCACCCAACTCTTCGCACCGAGGAAGCTGGAAAGCCAAACTGTAAGTAACCTTCGGGAGGTGGGGGTCCCGGGAGAGGGCAAGATTAGAATTGGGGTGGTCAGGATAACGGGGTGCGAGGGGGAGCGGGCGACGTCTCCAGCCTTTCCAACCAGAGTTTGCAAAGCAACATGGCGAAACCACAGCAGGTCCAGAGCTGTGCATACGTGGGCACACAATTTGCTAGGCAAAGATTTGGAACAAGAGTAAAGAAGTGGTTCTTTTGGGTTCCCCTAAAACACACGTTTCTACATTGAGACTTCCGGGGCTCCAGAATGCCCGCTTTCTCTCCTCCCCCCCCCCCCCAAGTGCCTACGCGGAGTCGCGACCACATGCGGGAACCTTAAGCTAGGAGGAATTTGCTTTGGCATTTTGGGGGGCTGCTTTTTTACTGTGGGTCCTGATGTCGCGCCCCTACAGCCATCTTCACCGCACGGAAAGCGGCCGCAGCTTCGCCAAAGGCAGGTCAGGATGGGGGTGGGAAGAAGAGGAAGCCACAAGCAGGCACTCGCGCGCGGGATGCTCCCCCACCCCCGCCCCAGGACAGCCTCGTTTCTCCCAGATTTTCTTCCCCCCTCCCCCAAGTTAATCGTGCATCCAGGAACCGAAATGAAGCCACGCGTCCCGCCAAAGGGCTGGGGGCACCTCGCACCCAGAAGTGGGGAGCTCGGTACAGTCTATCCGGTCCCAGTTGTAGGGTCCCTGCCCGGGGGCCGCGAGTTGGATTGGGGGCATGGTTTCTAGAAAGCGTCGCTCCCAGTCTTACCTCCAGCATCCAGGTGGCCACCATCCTCCGCATGTAGGGCTGGATGTCCTTCTGCACGCACTTGAAGTAGGAGCACTGAGGAAGGTAGCGCTCCTCGATGGTGAGCAAGTTCTGCAGAATGCGATCGTCGTAGAGCAGGTTGGGGTCCGGAACCGCCCTGCGGACAGGGTCCACCTCGCAACACAGCAGCTCCATGGCGAGCTGGGCGCGCACTCCTTCCCCTGCAATCTCTCGACTGGACAAGTTTTTTTTGGGGGTGGTGGTGGTGGTGGTGGTGGTATGGTGTAAAGGAAGAGGTTCCTCTAACCTCCTTCCTTTAGCTAAATAGGGGATTCTCGGGAGAAAGTTAGGGGCAGAGAGAGAAGCTGGAGGAGAAGAGAGGAAAGGGAAAGGCAGTGGGAGCAGAGAGCCCTGGGGGCTGCTGAACTCGCGCCTGCCCTCCCCTTCAAACTTGTCTCGCTCTCCTCAGCTCACTCTTCTCTGTGCACTCCGAGGCAGTGACGCAAGCTGGCTGGGCAGTTAGCTCTCCTCCCTCTCGCCTCGCTCCCTCCCCCTCCCTGTTCCTCCTCCCCTTTCCTCCCCTCTCGATTCTCCCCTCCTCCTTCCTCCCTCCCTTCCCCTCTTGTTATTAAGGGGAACAGCAGCTGGCCCGACCTAACTTCAAACGCGGTCCCCCGCCCCCCTCCTCCTTAGTTCTCCGAGGCCCTCTCCCCTTATCCAGCCTTGCATGCCAAGGGCCCAGAAGAGGGGAACCCACCAAAAAAAGGAACCCCACAAAAAAAAAAAAAAAAAAAGATTCCTATGTATACTGTCTCCAATGTCGTATACCAATTCTATAGGTGTATCCCACCAGTGTACGCCAACTTGGACTTTTCCAAAACGGATCCAAATACCCCTGCCCCAGTATTTAAGATCCAGGAATGGAGAATAGTCTTGATTATGGGGTAAGCGCAGACAATTGAGAAATTAAAATAAGGGGGTGGTTTTAGAAAAAACAACCAAGCATACTTAAGATAGAGGTTATGTATGGATATATAGTTAACGTCCCTGAAGTTTATGTTCCTGGTCATTTCGAAACTATTTCAAAAGCCTAATTAAAGGGACAAGAGCACCACTCTCCCCCCCCCCCCCCACCAGATGTGCAAGGAGAGGAAGAGGTAGAGGTGGGTGTTTGGAGGGAGGGGGTTGTTTCTCCGATGTTCTAGAATGTGACCCTCGAGCAAAAATCGTGCAGTCCTTGGAGATCTAAGGGAGATAGATATTGGAGGACGCAGTAAAGGGCCCAGGTTTGCTGCAGACCGGGGGCAGGGCTACTGCAGACCGGGGGCAGGGCTACTGCAGACCGGGGGCAGGGCTACTGCAGACCGGGGGCAGGGCTACCAGCGGCTCTTCGGCGGCTGGCGGCCACGCAGGAAAAACCCGCTTCCTCGCCCCAGCATCTGCTGACAAGCCGCCTGAGGTGTCTGCGCCTAGCGTGGCCACACTGATACAGCTTTCTAGGAAATAGCCCGGGAGGGGGAGGGGAGGGGAGTAAGGGAGGGATTAGGTTTGGCTCCCCTCGCTCCCCAGCGCACACACCACCACCCCTTCCTTTCCTCGGAGGCCTGAGATTGCCACCCTGGGTCCTTCGCCTACATCTTCGAGGCTTCCTGGGGGCTCACGCCTGACCCGCTAACCAGGGCTTTTTCGCAGGGTTTGCGGTGGAGACACTGCCAGCGCAGCCGGCTCTGACACGTGCTCAAACGCATCCTCAGGTCAAGGTTAATTTTAAAGGGGAGATGGTGGTACTTCCTTACCTCCTTCCTCCCACCACCCTGACCCTGCATTTCAGTGCTTTCTACTTTGGGAGGAAGGGGAGTGAGCCAAGCGCCCCCAACCTGTTGGCCCTCGAGCTGACACGTGCAGTGAGCTTGGCGTGCTTTGGGGTTCTCTGGACACACGGAGATGGAATGAAACCGTCTTAACCGAGAATGGGGGCCCGAATAGGGGCATTGAGAGCAAGCGGGGTGGCGGGAGTTGGGGCGGGGGTAAGGGAGGCTGGACTGGGTTAGCCGTTCACTGTGTTCCCTGAAAGGCGGAGAAGGGGCGGTGGAAAAGAGAAGGCGGGGAGAAAAAAACCCAGAGGTGCATGCGATTAACACAGACCCCGGAGCCAGCCTCTTTAAACGAGGGTGGGGCGGAAGGGGTGGGTGGGTATGGGGAGGTGGGTGGTATATCACTTTAAAAGGGTGAGTAAGAGTTTGGGGCGCCGTCTCCCCTCCTCTATTTGCATAGCCAATAGCTCTGGGGCTCCTGCTACTGCGCGCTGATTTGTTACCGGGCAGATTACTTTTTTTTTTTTTTTTTTTTAGTAGGACGCGTTCCCCGCTACATCAAAAGGAAGCCAAGGGAGGGCGGAGGGAGACTGGGACTGGGACTGGGACAGGCGAGGGCTAGGGAGAGGCTTGGACGCCTGCGACCTTATCAATAGCAGCGGGAATTAGTATCGGATCTACTGTCTGTGAAGAAAGGGGAGGGACGGGGGCGGGTGAGAAAGATGTCTAATTGCTGTGGAAGCCATTAGCTTTCGGGAAGAAAGAAAGAAAAAAAAAAAAAATGCTCACTGAAAAACCCAAGTTGCAAACTCAGAATGCAACAGTTCTGCAGAGGATGACACTCGGCTGAGGAGTGGTCACAGGAATATAGTTGGGTCCCTCACAGTCACCTATTGATTTTAGTCAAGTTGGAATCCCCGACTTCAGCTTTTGAGTCACTCTAGATAAACATATGAGTCCATAAAAGAATTAAACGTCACTTAAGCCACTTTTGAAAGTGTCAAAGAAAGCTCCTGGGGAAGGGAGAAGGTGCAGGTTGGGAGAGGTATTTTTAAAGTATCAGTCTAACCGTACTGGCAAGGACAGAAGCTGGCGAGGACTTAGAGACTCATGACATCATTTGATAACTAAAGAGTCCTTTTTCTCCACTTCTCTGCGGGAAAAGTATCCAGTGCTCAGGGACCACTGAAGGGGGGCGGGGAAGAGGCGGGTGGTCGTCGCGGCCTCGCCCACCCGGGGGAGAACGCCTGGGTGGCAAGTGCTCAACAGTGAGCCTAGGGCTCTTTCGCCCCTTCTCTCTCCCTACCCCCACCCCTGTCTAGCTTTACAGAGAAATTCCAGCGGGGGGAGTTGGGGGGTGGCTAAGGGGAAGGACTTAGAGGGTCCGAGCTGATGCCCTCCCCCCTCTTGGAGGCCCTCTTCTTTCATGGAGACCCGCAAGTTCGGGCGCTTCCAGAGTGGCGGGCTCGCCTTCTGAAAAACCTCTTTTAAGTTCCCCCATTCACTTCCCCTTCTTATTATGGACTGTTCCCGAACATTAACCTCCCTTCGGAGCCATTCCCGGTGGTGTTTCAGTCTTCAACATGTGAGGTGTGGCATGAGAGGGTGCGGGGTTGGCAGGAACTTCTCCAGGAATCTTGTACTGGAAATTGACTTTTCCCATTTTGCTCACCACTCTGAGCATTAGTGTTAGAATCTGAATTTTGCTTCTTAAAAAACATCCACCTAGTATACGGGGAAAAGGCACTTTCCCTCCTGGGCAAACGTGAACATTTTGAGTGTACACTCAATTTTTTGAGAAAACGTGTTAGCTCCTTTGCTCTGACTTTTAAGTCAATTGGGCACTGTGGAAGGCAAAAAAAAAAAAGTTGGTTCTTCCTTATCCCTTTCTCACCCTTCAAGGAAAAAAAAGAAAAAGGTTATCCTGTCCTTTGTAGGATGGGTGATAAACTTTAGCAAATGTAATTTTTATTGGACTTTTATTCCCTCTTTCCTAGCGTGCTCCCCACCCCCCACTTAGGTTTCGGAGTTTCGGTTGGAAAGTGTACAAAACCCTGTAGGTGGAGGGTGCAGCCGCGTGTTGGGTGTTTATAAGCACATCTCTGCAGTAACCTGCAAAAGCTAAGCACACACACTTCCCAAGCTCACCTGGCGGATGCCGGGCAGCCAGGTGATCCCACAGTCGGCTCAGAGCTCAGGAGCCACGTGGGTTCGAGTCTTGCCTGGCTGCCTCTGCGCAGAGGCGCTCAGGTCAGGTTTGTGGGAATCCAATTCAGATGCAGGGACGGGGACTACCACTCCCTCCTCAACTCTCCCAAAAAGTAAAACTGCGTTTGTATATTTCTCTGGTCTAAAAATTAAAAACAGAGAAACCCGACGGTCATTTAAATGTAGATGGCGAAGTGCTGGAGAAGGAACTACAGGAGGAACAGAAAGAGGAATTGAGAGGGAATGGGGATGAAATAAATGCCAATGGGGTGGGGGGTGGGGGGCGGTATGAGAAAGGAAAGGTGAGGAACCCGAAAGCGCCTGGATGGGAGGGTGGGTTGGGGAGCAGGCGATTCCAGGCTCCCGGATACTCCCGCAATGCGCTTCCAGGTGTGAACGCGCTGCAGTCCCCAGCCCCGCATTTCCGGGCCCTTCAGTCACTGCCTCCAGCTTGTCGGATGGGGGGGGGGGGCGGCTAAGGATCCAGTGGGGGGCAGAGCCAGCCTGTCCTTTTTATTTAAACTGTATTTCAGCTGGGAGCGGGCGTACTCCGGAGGCAGCAGATGCCGTAGGCGTGGGTCAGGAAGGCAGCGCCTGCCGTCTGTTCACCCACCTAGCATCTTACTCCCCACCCTAGGGAGTGGGGGACGGAGGAGAACCACTAAAAAGACCCGAGTTTCCCCCTCTTCCTGTCTGATTCAGTTTAAGGACATGCTTCACAAGATCGGAAATAGCCCTGGACATGAATTTGCTTTATAAAAGTGCATTTTCCAAAAAGATCTGGGGTGGGGGGCGTCTGGATGCTGGCGTTGGCGGGGCCCAGCCTCCCTGGAGGGGAAAAGAGCCACCGTCAGGCTCCTCTGCCCTCCCCCGGGCGCCCCCTATGAGGGGGCCGCTGGGCCGCAGAATCGCGCCTCCGCTCGCGGAGCCACCACGCGGCTTTTTCGCGGAATTTTGACGTCACCTACACGTGGGGGAAGGGGCTGGGAGAGCGAGAGGAAGCGGCGGGGGAGGGGGCCGGCGGGCGGGGAGCGGCAGCCTCTGCGTCTCCCTTGGCACCCTTGCGGTGCTGCGGCTGCCCTCGCGGTTGGTGCTGCGAGTTGCGGAGCTGCGGGCAAAATCGGCCCGCTGCCCCGCGGGGTGCAAAAGGCTTTGGTTGTTTTCCCAGGAGTTGCCACCCTTCTTCCAGATCCTCCCACTATACCCCCCCACCTCCGCCTTGCCAGCTTCAGTTCCTCCTCCAGTCCCCACCCCCAAGGCATTTATTTTATTTATTTCATTTTTTATTTTGTTTTACTGTGCAATTGCGAGCACCTTTTTGCTCTGGAAAAAAAAGGTTTTTGTTTCGGTAGTGGTCGATTTCCGCTTGATACCGACATCAGACCGAATATCGCGATTGCTGGTCGCGACGCTCGCCACTAGC